GGATGGATGGATGGATGGATGGGAGAAAGCGAGAAATAAAAATAAAAGAAAGAACGTACACAAAACAAATGCAGCAACAACGGACGACGGACGGACGGCAAAATGCAATTAAAACACAAGTTGAGAAACTGATATTGGTCACGGTTGTCCACGATATAAGAACGTCTTCGGCAATAACAACTCAACGTGAAAATGAAATGTTTTATCCTCTTGTACTTGACATGGGTCCTAAAGCCTGCAGTACTTGCAAACGTACTTGTGTTTGCCCAGTGAACTTTGTAGCGAAGCTATTTATCCTCAAGTGGGTTGCTTGGCATGGACAATTTTTCAAATATTATCTATCGCTTCATCTTTTTCGCTTGACTGTCTTTCAGAATGCAATACCATAAAAGTAAATCCACACACTGCTAATCCACAACATAGAAAAATACCTGCAAAAGTTAAGAGTACAGTGGATAATGTTGGGTCAATCGTTGTGCAGATTTTGTCAATCCTTTGTGGACTTGTTTGAAAAGTGTTCGTTGATGAAGGTTCTCTACAACGAAGTCCAAAAAAGAAATATAACGAGGACGAGAAGAAAAACAGCAAACTACTCGTGACCAAACCACAATAACCTAAATCAGGCATCTTTGTGTTCCACTATACCAAACAATGTATAGTAAATAAAAGAGTTGCTTTGCTTCGTATAGCCAGTCGCTTTTCTCAGTGTCAAATGATTTACTGGCGAGGATGCTCAAAGCTTTTCTTCAGTATCATCAATACTAGATAATCATTCAACAATACGAAGATAATCAAGGTTGATTAGAATGTCCTTCAAAATTGAAAATTGCAAATACACATTTCCTTCTTCGAGCATCAAGCCTTAGATAAAGTAGATTTCTCTGCAAATTCGTACTTAGACGACTGTCCCTTAGAGCCGAATGTTTAGCACTGTAGCGGTACTTTTCTGTACGTAATCCTTCTATATCTAGCAAAGGTCAAACTGGGAATGAACAACGCTAATGCAGCTGTTGGTATTTGCTATCTACCTAGAGCTATTGTTCCGCATTTGTAATGATATTTCACTGATATCCACGGAAGAGTGTACACAAAAGAGCAATCTTCCAAAACAACGAAACATCAAAATATTAATTTCAATCCATTCTTGAATTCTTTTTCAAGATTCTAAAATAATTTCTTTTTAAAAGGTTATTTGCGATGTTAGAGACAYTTGTCTGGTCAAGAAAATTTCTTTTAATAAATGAAATTCAAAATATAGAAGATCAAACATGCCATCTAAATCTATCGCCTCTAATGACGTCATTTAGTGCAAAGTTTATCCGCAACTAACTACTCTTTAGAAAAACAACATTCTTAGTTTAACTTAAGTGTTCTATTTTTGTATTCGAGTTTCTGTTTTGGTCCTTGGATTCATTTTGTATCCGTGTTATCATTGCCTTACAGACAAATCCTATTAATTTTGGCGGGAAAATAATTTTTACTATAAATAGGTTTCTAGCTGTCTAGCCAGTTTTCTGGTTGAAAGAATATTGCAGAAGACAAGACGGTCTTATGTTATCATATTGAGATATCAYCGAACAAATTTTTCTTCACAATTTAGCGATTTGTATTACAATTAAGTCAATAAAAAGGTCTATTTGAAATCAAAGAATTGACTGACAGTTCTACTCAAGGCCATTAGTAAACGCATTTGTGATGGCGAGCGATGAACTAAGTACGATAGCTTTACATTTATTTGAACAGCCATTAGGGTGCGTTTCATATGTCAGACTCYCTTTTTTTTAGCTTTTGATTAAAATATATCGATTTACTTAATTTATGTGTCAGCAACATGCTAGTCAGTAAAAAAAAA